TGAAGATCAAGACGTAGATTTACTTACTTTCTTTTCTTATTAGACTATCATTTCGATAATTTGAATTGTTAGCATAACGACATCTTCCATCAGCACGGAACTCAAATTCAAGAAATTCGTGGCCGTAACGGCCCATATGGCCGGTACTTATATAATAAGAAAAAGGAGAGAGAATAAGTATTAAAAAAAATAGAGCACATTAAAGAGTATCTGATAGATTTAGATTTATAACAATAAATGAATAAATGCGTACTAATAGCGGACATAAAATTCGTCTTCGTTAACCATATTTTTTTTTCTAGAGTTGAAATCACGAAAGTGAATGTTGTATTTCTGTATTTCAGTATTTATCGTCATGTAACTCAATATCACGTGACAAAATAGCTTTAAATTTCCGCTCGATCAACCCAATACATACGTACTGTACATACCAAGTTTCTTGATTTTAGCGTTAGAATTATGAATTCCAGAGAATATTTTGAAAGCATTAGGCATTATTCGACACTTGAAGAGGGGTCAGGAGTGGCTGATCTGTTAACAATAAGGAAAACTGCCATGATTCAACATTTAGCTGTACTCTTTCAACAGGTATAGTTTGGTTCTCTTAAAATTGGTCATATTATTCTAATATTCTAAATATGTCTTAAAAATATTTTAACATCCTAGAAACCAAGAATAGAAGACGATGTTAAGAGGTATTTGTCAGCACCGTGGGACGATATTGTTATACAGTATATAAAGTGTATTATAGCTATGCATAACAGAAAGTTTGCGGAGGCCTTCGATGAACATTATAGCATGGTCCAGTATCCTTATCTGTTATAGTTTTGATTAATCTAAAGTTTTTTTTCGGAATTATAAAGTTCTTTGACAATCAATTCAACAATAAAGAACCTTTCAAAGAGCGTTTTCACAACAGTTTGGGCGTTGGTCTTTGCCGATATTGTATGCTATAAACTATGATTTACGATTACTTGCAATTAAGGTGATAATTTTTTTATTTTTATTTTTATTATTAATCATATCAATTTTTCCTCATTTTTTCTTAATGGCCTTTCTTTATTTCATAATAAATTAAGTCGGACTTGATTTTTATGGTGGCAGAAAAACCACCTAAAAATTTAGAAATAGCAGCTCGCGCAATTAATAAATCATTTTCATTGTGCATAACAGACAGGTAAAAATTTATAATTCAATAATGTTATTTTATATATGTATTGAAAAAAATTTTTTTTGATTGATCAATTCTAGAGCTGCATTAAACGTCTCTCGTAAATGGGGGACTTATTATTTTGCGGGACTCTTGAAGCCCCACTACGTTTTTGTTTATCCGTTAAATATTGTAGAAATTATAGCAGATAAGTATAGTACAGGCGCCAAT